GAACCATGAGTAGAATAACAGAGACAGAAGATAGGATAAGTGAGTTAGAAGATAAAATGGTGGAAATAAATGAAGCAGAGAGGAAAAAAGAAAAAAGAAAAGAAATGAGGACAACCTCAGGGACCTCTGGGACAATGTGAAACGCCCCAACATTCGAATCATAGGAGTCCCAGAAGAAGAAGACAAAAAGAAAGGCCATGAGAAGTTACTCGAGGAGATAATAGCTGAAAACTTCCCTAAAATGGGGAAGGAAATAGACACCCAAGTCCAAGAAACCCAGAGAGTCCCAAATAGGATAAACCCAAGGAGAAACACGCCAAGACACATATTAATCAAATTAACAAAGATCAAACACAAAGAACAAATATTAAAAGCAGCAAGGGAGAAACAACAAATAACACACAAAGGGATTCCCATAAGGGTAACAGCTGATCTATCAATAGAAACCCTTCAGGCCAGAAGGGAATGGCAGGACATACTTTAAGTAATGAAAGAGAATAACCTACAACCTAGATTACTCTACCCAGCAAGGATCTCATTCAGATATGAAGGAGAACTCAAAAGCTTTACAGACAAGCAAAAGCTGAGAGAATTCAGCACCACCAAACCAGATCTTCAACAAATACTAAAGGATCTTCTCTAGACAGGAAACACAGAAAGGTGGTATAAACATGAACCCAAAACAACAAAGTAAATGGCAACGGGACCATACCTATCAATAATTACCTTAAATGTAAATGGGTTGAATGCCCCAACCAAAAGACAAAGGCTGGCTGAATGGATACAAAAGCAAGACCCCTATATATGCTGTCTACAAGAGACCCACCTCAAAACAAGGGACACATACAGACTAAAAGTGAAGGGCTGGAAAAAAATATTCCACGCAAACGGAGACCAAAAGAAAGCAGGAGTCGCAATACTCATATCAGATAAAATAGACTTTCAAATAAAGGCTGTGAAAAGAGAAAAAGATGGACACTACATAATGATCAAAGGATCAATCCAAGAAGAAGATATAACAATTATAAATATATATGCACCCAACATAGGAGCACCGCATTATGTAAGGCAAACACTAACGAGTATGAAAGAGGAAATTAATAGTAACACAATAAGAGTAGGAGAGTTTAATACCCCACTCACAACTATGGATAGATCAACTAAACAGAAAATGAACAAGGAAACACAAACTTTAAAGGACACAATGGACCAGCTAGACCTTATTGACATCTACAGGCCGTTTCACCCCAAAACAATCAACTTCACCTTTTTCTCAAGTGCACACGGAACCTTCTCCAGAATAGATCACATCCTGGGCCATAAATCTAGTCTTGATAAATTCAAAAAAATTGAAATCATTCCAGTCATCTTTTCTGACCACAGTGCAGTAAGATTAGATCTCAATTACAGGAAAAAAATTATTAAAAATTCAAACATATGGAGGCTAAACAACACGCTTCTGAATAACCAACAAATCATAGAAGAAATCAAAAAAGAAATCAAAATATGCATAGAAATGAATGAAAATGAAAACACAACAACCCAAAACCTATGGGACACTGTAAAAGCAGTGCTAAGGGGAAGATTCATAGCATTACAGGCCTATCTCAAGAAACAAGAAAAAAGTCAAATAAATAACCTAACTCTACACCTAAAGCAACTAGAGAAGGAAGAAATGAAGAACCCCAGGGTTAGTAGAAGAAAAGAAATCTTAAAAATTAGGGCAGAAATAAATGCAAAAGAAACTAAAGAGACCATAGCTAAAATCAACAAAGCTAAAAGCTGGTTTTTTGAAAAAATAAACAAAATTGACAAACCATTAGCAAGACTCATTAAGAAACAAAGGGAGAAGAACCAAATTAACAAAATTAGAAATGAAAATGGAGAGATCACAACAGACAACACTGAAATACAAAGGATCATAAGAGACTACTACCAGCAGCTCTATAAAATGGACAACTTGGAAGAAATGGACAAGTTCTTAGAGAAGTATAACTTTCCAAAACTGAACCAGGAAGAAATAGAAGATCTTAACAAACCCATCACAAGCAAGGAAATCGAAACTGTAATCAGAAATCTTCCAGCAAACAAAAGCCCAGGACCAGATGGCTTCACAGCTGAATTCTACCAAAAATTTAGAGAAGAGCTAACACCTATCTTACTCAAACTCTTCCAGAAAATTGCAGAAGAAGGTAAACTTCCAAACTCATTCTATGAGGCCACCATCACCCTAATTCCAAAACCAGACAAAGATGCCACAAAAAAAGAGAACTACACGCCAATATCACTGATGAACATAGATGCAAAAATTCTTAACAAAATTCTAGCAAACAGAATCCAACAACATATTAAAAAAATCATACACCATGACCAAGTGGGCTTTATCCCAGGAATGCAAGGATTCTTTAATATCCGCAAATCAATCAATGTGATACACCACATTAACAAATTGAAAGATAAAAACCATATGATTATCTCAATAGATGCAGAAAAAGCCTTTGACAAAATTCAACATCCATTTATGATTAAAACTCTCCAGAAAGCAGGAATAGAAGGAACATACCTCAACATAATAAAAGCTATATATGACAAACCCACAGCAAGCATCACCCTCAATGGTGAAAAATTGAAAGCATTTCCCCTGAAATCAGGAACAAGACAAGGGTGCCCACTCTCACCACTCCTATTCAACATAGTTTTGGAAGTGTTGGCCACAGCAATCAGGGCAGATAAAGAAGTAAAAGGAATCCAGATAGGAAAAGAAGAAGTGAAACTCTCTCTGTTTGCAGATGACATGATCCTCTACATAGAAAACCCTAAAGACTCAACCAGAAAATTACTAGAGCTAATCAACGAATACAGTAAAGTTGCAGGATATAAAATTAACACACAGAAATCTCTTGCATTCCTATACACTAACAATGAGAAAACAGAAAGAGAAATTAAGGAAACGATACCATTCACCATTGCAACAAAAAGAATAAAATACTTAGGAGTATATCTACCTAAAGAAACAAAAGACCTATACACAGAAAACTATAAAACACTGATGAAAGAAATCAAAGAGGACACAAACAGATGGAGAAATATACCGTGTTCATGGATTGGAAGAATCAATATTGTCAAAATGGCTATACTACCCAAAGCAATCTATAGATTCAATGCAATCCCTATCAAACTACCAACGGTATTTTTCACAGAACTAGAACAAATAATTTCACAATTTGTATGGAAATACAAAAAACCTCGAATAGCCAAAGTAACCTTGAGAAAGAAGAATGGAACTGGAGGAATCAACCTGCCTGACTTCAGACTCTACTACAAAGCCACAGTCATCAAGACAGTATGGTACTGGCACAAAGACAGAAATATCGATCAATGGAACAGAATAGAAAGCCCAGAGATAAATCCACGAACCTACGGTCACCTTATCTTCGACAAAGGAGGCAAGGATATACAATGGAAAAAAGACAACCTCTTTAACAAGTGGTGCTGGGAAAACTGGTCAACCACCTGTAAAAGAATGAAACTAGAACACTTTCTAACACCATACACAAAAATAAACTCAAAATGGATTAAAGATCTAAATGTAAAATCAGAAACTATAAAACTCCTAGAGGAGAACATAGGCAAAACACTCTCAGACATAAATCACAGCAGGATCCTCTATGACCCACATCCCAGAATTTTAGAAACAAAAGCAAAAATAAACAAATGGGACCTAATGAAACTTAAAAGCTTTTGCACAACAAAGGAAACTATAAGCAAGGTGAAAAGACAGCCCTCAGATTGGGAGAAAATAGCAAACAAAGCAACAGACAAAGGATTACTCTCAAAAATATACAAGCAACTCCTCCAGCTCAACTCCAGAAAAATAAATGACCCAATCAAAAAATGGGCCAAAGAACTAAACAGACATTTCTCCAAAGAAGACATACAGATGGCTAACAAACACATGAAAAGATGCTCAACATCACTCATTATCAGAGAAATGCAAATCAAACCACAACGAGGTACCATTACACGCCAGTCAGATGGCTGCTATCCAAAAGTCTACAAGCAATAAATGCTGGAGAGGGTGTGGAGAAAAGGGAACCCTCTTACACTGTTGGTGGGAATGCAAACTAGTACAGCCACTATGGAAAACAGTGTGGAGATTTCTTAAAAAACTGGAAATAGAACTGCCATATGACCCAGCAATCCCACTTCTGGGCATACACACCGAGGAAACCAGATCTGAAAGAGACATGTGCACCCCAATGTTCATCGCAGCACTGTTTATAATAGCCAGGACAAGGAAGCAACCTAGATGCCCATCAGCAGACAAATGGATAAGGAAGCTGTGGTACATATACACCATGGAATATTACTCAGCCATTAAAAAGAATTCATTTGAATCAGTTCTAATGAGATGGATGAAACTGGAGCCCATTATACAGAGCGAAGTAATCCAGAAAGATAAAGACCATTACAGTATACTAACACATATATATGGAATTTAGAAAGATGGTAACGATAACCCTATATGCAAAAAAAGAAAAAGAGACTCAGATGTATAGAACAGACTTGTGGACTCTGTGGGAGAAGGCGAGGGTGGGATGTTTCAAGAGAACAGCATCGAAACATGTATATCTAGGGTGAAACAGATCACCAGCCCAGGTTGGATGCATGAGACAAGTGCTCGGGCCTGGTGCACTGGGAAGACCCAGAGGGATAGGGCGGAGAGGGAGATGGGAGGGGGGACCGGGATGGGGAATACATGTAAATCCATGGCTAATTCATTTCAATGTAGGACAAAAACCACTGCAATGTGTAAAGTAATTAGCCTCCAACTAATAAAAATAAATGGAAAAAAAAAAAGAAATTAAAATCATAAACCAAGTACTTTGCAGGCAATAAATTCAGGTTTCACCGGTAGCTAAACAAAAAGTCTGACGCAATATAAGGTATTCCATGGATTAAAATTAAAACAAGATTTCTAACATTCCAGTTTGACCTACCAGTATTTACTTTTGATGTTACATGAGCTACATCAATTTTCTGGGACCTGATGAGAGGTCCAGCTTTTGTAGAAGGAGTGTGTGCTATATTTTTCCTTCGATCTTTTGCTTTACTTATCTTTGAAAGAGGTGCAAAAATACCTAAGAGAGAAGGCAGAATTTTAATATTAAACAATTGAAAGCATTTCAAATAAAGGGACAAGTACAACCATTCAGTAGCAAAAAATCTTTAAATTCTTTTTGAGTGTCTACTAGGTGTCCTTGTAGTGAGAGAGAGAGAAAAAAAGTAAGAATCAGTATTTGCCCTCAGAGAGGTTACAATCTAGTTGTCAAGACTAACAACATACACAGTAATTCAAGAAGCACAGAGCATAATCAGGCACTATGTGAAACTAAGGAAAAAGAGGAATGAGAAGAAGTAATAATTATACTTTTATACATTATAATTACTTCTAAATACCAGCAAATAATAATGTACTACATAAGCAGCAGTCCCCAACGTCTTTGGCACTAGGGATCAGTTTTGTGGATGATAATTTTCCCATGGACTGGGATGGGAGGGATGGTTTCAGGATGATTCAAGTACATTACATTTACTGTGCACTTTATTTCTATTTTTATTATATCAGCTCCACCTCACATCAGTAGGCATTAGATCCTGGAGGTTGGGGACCCATGCTATATAGTATAAAAACTATTCTCCCATGTCACTTTATCTATAGCTCCTTAGGACATATTTTTTCCCATATTATAATTTTTTATGTCCATGTTTTATCTCCTTTCCAGACTTTAAAGATAAAATTCAAGATTACTCATCTCTACATTCCCCCAATGTACCTAATTATAGTGCCTGACACATAGTAGGGATATAAAATACTTTTGAATACAAAATATAATCTTCTCCAAAGGCTTATCCCTCAACATCTGAAAATCAGAAACAATACAGAGAGAGGCAGCCTCTTTGCTGCAGCTAAGAGTATAAAATTCCATTAAAAAAGAAGTTTATCTGGGCATAAAATTCCAGTATATATAAACAGGCAGACATTAGAAACAGTGAATATGAAACTGCAAATATCAAGATTATTTGGCTAAGACATTTAAGAAGAAAAAATAAAGTCATAATATGTGTACTATACATTTCCATTCAGTGTTTACACCTAAACTAACAAAGACACATTATGACCAAAATATAATACATTAAAACAACTTGTTTTAAAATAGGTTTTTAAGGACAACAAAAAATGAGTGCTTTATTTATAGCTAACAAGTGCAGACTATACTGCTTTTCTGCTAATCTTGACATTCTTTCCTCCCTTGGATTCTACAGTACTTCATTCTGATCTTCCCAGATCTTTTGACTTCTCCACAATGTTTTTTCTCTTCTGTCTCCCGACTATCAGATTTTTCTTTGACCTTCTATTCTTTTCTCTAAATTATTTTCCTTGCCAAATACACATACATTCTCAAGTCAAGGGTTTGAAGAAATAAATTATTTTATACTGTGGGATGTACATTTGTAAAATCTTACTGGAAGACAAGAATTCTGCCCTAATTTGTTTTATGATACTAACTATAAGGAAATACTTATATTTAAGAGGTGTGAACAGGGTTACACTTGTATATTATAAGGAGAAGATAGATTTCAAGAATCAAAGCAATTTCTAGTTTTCTACTATGACCCAATCACACTTTTGGAAATTGTAAGAAAATAATCCAAACTGGAGGAAAAGACTTGTCTACCTGAATATGCCAACATGGCAATATTATAAGTAAGAGAAAACAATTATTTGGCAATAGAAGGAATGAATCTATATTTATGAACTATTACATCACCATTAACAACTAGGATAAAGATTACATAGAAATATAGAAAAATATGAAAAGCAAATTCAAGAAAACAAAAACTGAACTGTAAGTTTGACTGCATTATATCTGTGAGAAGTTATATGTGTGGATATAAGAAGGACTGAAAAAAAATCAAAAACCAAAACATATTTATGAGTGCAGACTGAATTATTTTTCAAATTTGTGTGTGTCTCTAAAGTCACAATAAAATTGTTCAATGAATGAGCTATATAGTTCTCATCCTCTTTGCTTTTTTTAATTAACTAAATCATTTGAGAGAAGCGAAACTAAATCTAAAGCAATGATTGGATACAAAGTCCAAAGTGTGCACCATATACGTGCTAACCTTCCTGTTTAGAATCTCATGCTAATCAAAACAGTGATGGGATTCTCCTCAGATCCTGACATATAATTATAAGGCTTAACTAAAAATAAACATCTAAGGAAAAATTATTTTAAAACAGAAGAGTAATGAATTTCTAGGTAAACATAACCCATTTTGTTTACCCACAATTCCTCCTAAAACTCCACTATAATTTTAATAAGAAATAAGAACATAAACACTAAAGAAAAAATAACATTAAAAAAAGAGAGAAAAAACACTAAAGCTTCCAAAGAAGTTTCCAAAAATAGGGAAAAGGAAAAAGCGGAAGAAAGACTCTGAAACTTGTAAATAGCAACATGGAATCTCAAGATAAGAGCTGGCAAAGCACTGCCCAAGAACCAGGTCCTCCCTGCTGCCTACTTCGTAATGCTCTGTTGGAACACAGCCACACCCATTTGTTTACGTATTCTTTATGCCTGCTTATTCACTACAATAGGAGAGCTGAAGAGTTGCAACAGAGACCGCACGGCCCATCAGTTCAGTTCAGATCAGTCGTGTCAAACTCTTTGTGGCCCCAAGGACTGCAGCACACCAGGCCTCCCTGTCCATCACCAACTCCTGGAGCTTGCTCAAACTCATGTCCATTGAGTCAGTGATGCCATCCAACCATCTCATCCTCTCCCGTCCCCTTCTCTTCCTACCCTCAATCTTTCCCAGCATCAGGGTCTTTTCAAATGGGTCAGTTCTTCATATCTGGTGGCCAAAGTATTGGAGCTTCAGCTTCAACATCAGTCCTTCCAATGAATACTCAGGACTGATTTCCTTTAGGATGGACTGGCTGGATCTCCTTGCAGTCCAAGGGACTCTCAAGAGTCTTCTCCAACACCACAGTTCAAAAGAACCAATTCTTCGGTGCTCAGTTTTCTTTATAGTCCAACTCTCACATCCATACATGACTACTGGAAAAACCAGTTTTCTTTATAGTCCAACTGTCACATCCATACATGAGCACTGGAAAAACCATAGCTTTGACTATACTGACCTTTGTTGGCAAAATAATTAATGTCTCTGCTTTTTAATATGCTGTCTAGGTTGATCACAGCTTTTCTTTCAAGAAGCAAGCATCTTTTAATTTCATGGCTGCAGTCACTATCTGAAGTGATTTTGGAGCCCAAGAAAATAGTCTGTCACTGTTTCCCCATCTATTTGCCATGAAGTGATGGGACTGGATGCCATGATCTAAGTTTTTTGAATGCTGAGTTTTAAGCCAGCTTAACACCTAAAATATGGCCCATAAAACCTAAAATTATTTACTACCTGGCCCTTAACAGAAAACATTTGCCAAATTGCATTAGACAATAGTGTATCACCTTCCAAATACTGAAAGAATGTGAATTTCAACCTATTCCTGATCCCACTAAGTTATCATATGAAGTGTGAGGGTAGAAATAAACATTTCTGGAATGGAAACGCTCAAAAAATTTGCTTCCTGTGAGTCCTCTATGAAGTCCTACTGAAGGATGTGACCCACCAAAACAAAGAAGTCAACCAAAAAAAAAAAAAAAAAAAACCGACTTAGAATATTAAGAATATCAAATCTTTCTCTTCACAGTATGAAGTCAATAGATGTCTAAAATTGGAAAGATTCCTATAAATATATTAGTCAAAATATGAAATGAACATCAGAAGATAACAGCTAAAGAAGTAAAAAACATTCTTGCCCCTAAATAACGGGACTTGGAGTGAGGAATTGCAAGCCAGGGGAGGGTTTCATTATTGTTTTACAATACAATTTGACTAATTAAACTAGGCATTTGTGTTTACTTTGGTAATTATTAAAAGGAATAAAAATAGTTTTATCAAATATTAAAAATTATTATAAAATGTTCATAATTGCCTAAACTTAGAAGCAACCAAGATATCCTTTAGTAGGTGAATGGAGAAATAATGGAAGTCTTGATACCTCCAGACCATGGGAGTATTATTCAGTGCTAAAAAGACATGAGCAATCAAGCAATGAAGAGATATAAATACAAATTACTAAGTGAAAGAAGCCAATGTTAAAATGCTACATACTGTATGATTCCAGCTCTATGACATTCTGGAAAAGACAAAATATGGAGACAGTAAAACAACCATTGATTGTCAGGGGCCTGGGGGGGTGGTGCGGGGGAGGGTGGCTGAATAGGTGGAGCACACAGGATCTTGAGGGAAGTGAACATACTCTATAATATGGCATTGTTGGACACATGCCATTGTATATTTGTCCAGACTCACAGGATACACAGCATGAAGAGTGCATCTTAAGGCAAACTATGGTCTTTGAGTGATTATGATGTGTTCACGTAGATTCAACAATTGCAAGAAATGTACCCTCTGGTGAAGGGATGTTGATGACAGGGGGGCAGGAGGTTTACAAGAAGTCTCTGTACCCTCCTCTCAATTTTGCTATGAACCTAAAACTGCTCTAAAAAAAAATCTTTTAAAAAATTGTTGTAAAATTTCTATAATTAAAAAATCTAATATGTGCTAGAATTAACAGATCAATGGAACAAAACAATCCTGAAACAGACTGTAGCATTTAGAAGAACTTAATTCATATTAAAGGAAGCACAAGTCAAAGGGAAAGGATAGATTTAAGAGAGAAGAAGAAAAAAAAATCTGTTGCTGAGAAACCTTTGGCTTCTGCTTCATCAGGGGGTGCTCCACCTCTCCTGCTCCCCACACCTCAAGTAGTTTAGCAAAGACTGGGCTCAGACTGCTGAGCTGGCTCAGCAGGAAGGACTATGGCCATTTCTGTATAATCCAACACATGACCCTTGCCCCGAAACTTACCATTTAAATATGTAAAGGGGAATGGAGGAAGGGTCCTTGGGAATCCACCTCTGCCCTAATCATGTGTGCCTCTCCTTGGGATGATGGGGTTAGGGAGGCCACACACTCTCTGCTACAGTCTAAGCCTCTCCCAGGGCTTTGATCTACATCGGCTCGCTCTGCTGCTAACGGTTTTGGTCTTGCCCTTAGTCTGCTGGACAGTTGCCAAAATTAGCTAATAGAGGAAAATTAAATCCTTAACCTCATACAACTAACCAAATAAACTCCAAATTAATTGACTAATACAGTATTTAAAAATAAACATATTCAAAAAAATAAAATATATAACCTATAATGAATCCTTGGATTAGGAAGAATGACCTACCTTAGCATAAAAGCAATTTTAAGAAATTATAAAGGAAAAGTCTTTTTTTTTTTTTTTTGCTATTAAACAATCCTTTTTTATTATTATTATTTTTTTTACATGTATTCCCCATCCCGGTCCCCCCTCCCACCTCCCTCTCCACCCAATCCCTCTGGGTCTTCCCAGTGCACCAGGCCCGAGCACTTGTCTCATGCACCCAACCTGGGCTGGTGATCTGTTTCACCCTAGATAATATACGTGTTTCAATGCTGTTCTCTTGAAACATCCCACCCTCGCCTTCTCCCAGAGTCCACAAGTCTGTTCTATACATCGGAGTCTCTTTTTCTGTTTTGCACATAGGGTTATCGTTACCATCTTTCTAAATTCCATATATATGTGTTAGTATACTGTAATGGTCTTTATCTTTCTGGCTTACTTCGCTCTGTATAATGGGCTCCAGTTTCATCCATCTCATTAGAACTGATTCAAATGAATTCTTTTTAATGGCTGAGTAATATTCCATGGTGTATATGTACCACAGCTTCCTCATCCATTCGTCTGCTGATGGGCATCTAGGTTGCTTCCATGTCCTGGCTATTATAAACAGTGCTGCGATGAACATTGGGGTGCACGTGTCTCTTTCAGATCTGGTTTCCTCGGTGTGTATGCCCAGAAGTGGGATTGCTGGGTCATATGGCAGTTCTATTTCCAGCTTTTTAAGAAATCTCCACACTGTTTTCCATAGTGGCTGTACTAATTTGCATTTGCTTTATAAAGGAAAAGTCTTTTTTTTTAACTGCATAAAAGTACATGTCCAAAAACACTGCAGATGGAGTTCAAAGGAAAGTGACAAACTAGGCAAAATATCTGTAGTAAATATAAAGGCTTAACATCCTAAACATGTATTCATATTTAAAAAACTATTATCAGTTTAAAGTAACACTAATATCCCCATTTTTTAATGTGCAAACAATATGAGTAATTATTTCTTGGGAATTACCAAGACAATACAAAAAATACATGTGCTACAAGAGAACATTTCAGGCATTCCACTTTACCACAATCAAGAGAAATATGAATTCAAACAAATTTCACCTATCAAATTAGAAAAATTAAAGGAAATGGAATCATATAAAAAATCATACTTTCAAAAAATATTTAAAGATTATAGAAATTCTAATAGGATGTCAGTTAAAAATGTAGACTATCTATAATCCAAATTTTGTGGAAAAAAATAAACAGAAAACATATACAGGCGATTTTACATTTTTTTCTCCTTTTTTTATGTTTTTTAAATCTAATGTCATAGACATTTTTTATAAAGAAAAATTTTAATAGAGCCAAAAATGAGGCTCCAGCTTAAGTGTATGGTGAAAGGAAACTGGTGAGTTTCCCAAATGGCCAGGCTCCAAAACAAAAGCACTCCAAGCCACACTGCACCCTTGGCGCAGAGGCCACGTCGTGACCTTGGACATGACTTTAGGGAGGGCAGCTACTATCATACCTTCTGTCCTGCAGTAACAACAGGATCCCCCATTTGATACATTTATAACAGGTAGCAGGTAGTTAATATTTTTCGGGTGCTTACAGGGAACCAAGCACTTTTCTAGGTGCTTTCTATATTTATCATTTAACTCTCACATGAACTCTGTAAGTTTGTTATCCTCAATTTACAGAAGAAAACTGAGGCAACACAAGAGGAGAAAGAAGGTCCCATAGCTGGTAGGGAGAATAGCTGATTCACACCCCAGCCATCAGGCTCCAAAGCCTGTACTCTTCAAACACTATCCTGTACTGCCTCCCTATCGAGCTGCAAGATGAAATACTGTGCAAACAGGGAAATTAATGTTCTGGGAAAATATTCTCAACATAGTAAGTGACAAAAGCAATTAGAAATCAATGTGTCAGAGTGTGTGTGTGAGAGAGAGAAAGAAACAGAGAAAATAAAATTAAGCAAACATTTGTCAGAGAAACAAAGAAGCATTCCAGCTCAGAAGCACAGTAATAAAGTTGGCCTCACTTGCTTTTCTAATTTTTCAAGTTTTTCAGCCTCTAGAGTACTGTAGTTATTTGGTAATAAAGAATAAAAGCCTTCCTTCAGTCATGACACCACCACCAGCAGGATTCAGGAAGGTCCATAGAGCTGGGTGCACTCCTAGTAAGCCACAAGACTGCTCAGTAAGAAAAGGGCAGTCTCTTCATTCATTTATAACCAGGGAGAATGCTTTATTTAAAAACTAATTAAAAAGGGGTGAGATATATGCAAACAGTAACATGGAAACTTACATTACTATATGTAAAATAGATAGCCAATAGGAATTTGCTGTATGGCTCAGGAAACTCAAACAGGGGCTCTGAATCAGTCTTAAGGGGGGTGGGGGGGCAGGAGATGGGAGGGAGGCTCAAAAGGGAGGGTTTATATGTATACCTATGGTCTATTCATGTTGACGTTTGACAGAAAACAATAAAATTCTGTAAAGCATTATCCTTCAATAAAAAAATAAACTAAAAAAAGAAAAGATAAAGTCTATGAAATAGTTGAAATGGGTCATTAAATGCTGTGCCTCAGTTATGGATCAAATTCAACCACTAAAAAAAATTTTTTTAAATCAAAGAGTAAAACTGTATTACTTTAAATTAATTCTCATCACATTAGGCAGTATCTACCTTACCATATCTGGGGGCACATTTAAAGTACTGGACTTTCCCAACACTTCCATTGTTTTTTCCTTCTGGTTCATCCAACTCAATGCCAGCCCACTGTCCACTTGCAAATTCAGTTGTTCCACAAAATCTCAATGTTCCAACCTAAAGAAATATAAATCAGGGTAACTTTTGAGTATTACTTGTAATCCTAAATTTTCTACTCTTGTAACTTTATCACAGAAGTCTTTAAGAAGCACTCACTCAAAGCAGACTTCAGAAGAAGGAAAATATCACCAGGGCTAAAAACAGACATTAAATAATGATAAAAGAGTTGATGGACCAAGAAGGCATAAGAATCCTAAATCTATATGCACTTAACAACTAAGGCAGGAACAGTGACAGTCACGTCTGCTGCATTTTCATACAGTAGTAATTTGTGGGAGAACCACTACTGAGGAAGAGGGAGCTGCAAGGGTAAACCTGCAGACTGGAAGCCTGTAAATTCACTCAGCCCCTCCACTTTCCTCCCATTTAAATACAGATGCCTTCACTATTCAGTTTGACTAATAGTTTATATTCTTAAGTTATACTTTATAGTAACCGTGCATCTAAATCTCATGTTTTCCATTAAGTCTCTTTCTACCTACACATTGAACTTAAAAACAAAACAAAAAAACACCCCAAGCCACACTGCACCCTCAGCACATAAGCCACATCGTGACCTTGGACATGGCTTTAGAGACGGCAGCTACTATCATACCTTCTGTCCTGCAATAACAACACGATCCCCCAGCTTCAGGCCAAGTGACGTCAGCATCGCCTTGCTAGTAACACGATCATAATTTGGAAGCAAGGGCTTTGAGTGATCACATGACAGAGGCGCCGCGTCCAGCAGCATCTGCTTGATTTCCTTAGCAGTGGCCGCTGCATCGGCCATTTCCAAGGGCATCTCGACCGGGTCTGGGACAACGTCAGCGGGGATCTGCCCTTTGTCATTCTACAGATAAAGAGAAACTTTTCAGTTCATATTGGCTCAGAGCTCTACATGGCCACCTAGAAGTACTCTGGGAAAAAAGTTAAATTCATCGATCATTTATTTATTCAAAAATATTCACTAAACACCTACTGCCTGCCCATTCTAAATGCTAAAGACATACACAGTGAAGAAATCAATAGCTCCACCCTCAAACAGCCTAGTGAGGGGCAGACTATAATCACATAAACAAAATGTATGGTGTATCAAAGGGTGAAAAGTGGCAGAGAGAACAAGGCAGAGAAGAGGAACATGGACAGGGGGGCAGAGAAGGCCTTGGTGCTGAGCGGCACTGGTGCAGAGGCCTAGGGAGGTGAGGGAACATGGGCAGGTTAGCTGGTGGGGATGGCAGTCCAGGCTGAGGGAAGAGCAAGAGCTCAGGCTGTTCGTGGGTGGCGTGCCTGGAAAAGGCACTTCTGGAGACAGAAGTCATGGGACTGCCTGGCTTCCCAACCTGGGACCCGACACTCCCATCAGTCTCCTGAGCCTCCACCTGGGCTCCATGACCTTGACCCACCCTGCCCACTCATGGTGCAACTCAGATTTTGAGAACAGAATCCATAGTTTCAACACTTCTAAAATTGGGACTGGGATTTATCCTGCAGCAAAAAAAAAAAAAAAAAAATGGTCAGTCCCAGGGCCCACTCACGTTTTCATGGTGTTTATATAAGCAAATCTCTGTCCCACAAATTCTCACTTGGTTATCACATCAAGAAAAAGCTTGAGAATAACAGAGATAAAAATCCTTGCCTGTTACAAATTTGTTTTTGTTGCAGCAGGAGGAACCAACTAAACAAGTAAAATATGACTACCATTTCCAGTTTGCCAATTAGGAGACTTACGCAGGGAGAGAGGAATGAGTGATTGCTCAGCGTCATCTCCATGATTACTGCAGAGACAACACCGCAGCCCACATTAGGCAACCACTGGACTCTCCGCTCTTCTCCTGCTCCATGCCATCCTTCTTCCCTCAAACAAGCCCTCTTTCTTCTATGCTCCCTAACCAAAAACTCAAATTTTATCAGAAAGATTCCAGACTCTAATCTTCTCTTAATGAGATGAACCAAGATTCTTTGGCTCAGAAACCTTTTTCCCTTTTCTTCTCCTCTGATAATTATCTTCAAATGACCCACATGGATAAAAGAATGGGGCTTTTAGAACACTTAGTTTGCAAGGGCCTCACATTTTTTATTTTAAAATTCAAGTCAGTTTGGTCCTAAGTAAAAATATGGTAGGTAGACATGTTATCAAATTTGGGGGATGGTGATGAACTATTTTGATCCCCAATTTCAAAGTACAAAATATAAAGAAAATTATCTATAGTGCTAATATGTACTCTTGAGAAAAAGAAAGAAGGGAAAGAAACTTTTAAATCAACAAACCTGTTCTGTTAAGTTGTAGGCTACTTTTACAATGAATATTTTACTTCATATTTTCAAGTCCTCACCTTTCTTGAGTAAGTCACACATTTCTATTAATTCCTACACAAAATTTAGCAACTAAAACTTCAGTGTTTAAAAAATACTAAATACTAATAAAATAATGATGATATCATGTTAACATAAGAAGACTTGTTCATGATTATAGAATTACACTTTCTTCTAAAGTAGTGGCTAAGTTAGGGTCTGATCCAAGGGCTACTGCTAACCCACATATAGATCTTTTTTTTTTTTAAGTATTAACTACCAAAAGTGGGTAAAAATCTATTAATTACTTTGAACTTGAATTGGTAATTTACCTCCATGACATACCTCACTGCATCTTACTAGATTCAAAATACTCTCTCCACTAGTGGGGTCTTGCCAAGAGTTGTACTAGCAAAAGCAAGCACCTATCACCTTCACACTCCGATCAACTCCTGGCCTTTGTGCACGCCACTCTCTCTGCCTAACGGGACTTTCCCAGCTCCCTCCTATACCTGGTTAATTCTCAACTCTGTTTAAGTATTCAAGTTTACCTACGTCAGGAAGCAGGCTTCCTAAGGCTTGGACAGACTCCCCTCCCGTGCAATCCCATGACACTCTGTGCCACACCCCGCCCATCCCCCATCCTAACACACTCAACTTGACACACTACAGTAAATCTGCCTGCTCTCTTGTTTGTCCCCCCTTCTAGACGATATTCTATTTGAGGACAGAGACACATTTTTTGTCCCAGTGCCATGTATTGTCCCAGACACATGTATTCTCCCAGTGCCTAATAAACAATAGGGTACAAAGGATGGAGGGAGGGAAGGAGGAACAGAGGGGGTGATTAAATAATTAATGGGGTTAAACAGAAAGAAAAGTGGCAAAGAACTTGGGAGGGAAGGCAAAACAGGAAAGCAAGGAAAAGAGAAGGGGAGGAGACTTTTGCTAGCACTGCCCACTGCTGCCACTTCAAGAGAATGCAGAGACCCAGTGAAGAATCCCAGCCAGAGCAAGTCAATGCTATTAATGCAGCAGAAAAGAACACTCATAGCCACTTTGGTGAAGACAATAAAATACCGAGCAATTTGAAGTTTACGAAGTTCAGTCTTGTGTGTTAACTTGGTAAGTATGTAACTTGATCGTGAAAAAAAAATTTTTCCTTTAAGTCAATTTTAAAGGTTTACTCCGTTCTTAAATAGGCCTTTTTTAGACTGTCTGAAAGAAAACTTCTTTCCAAAAGAATTTAAAATATGGTTTAATGCAGAAATATAAACTTTAATATATGCATTGTTATTTAATAGCTAAAGGCTTTGAAAGATAGTTTTAAACTCAAAGATGATAAACTCTAAAGAGCATTTTATTTAGCTGAATGAAAGTAAGGCTAATAGAGCTTATCAATATAAAAGGACTGAAATTCACTGCTATGCCTTAAACTTATCTGAGATAAAAATTTATCATTATTACTCTTTATATGCAGCACAAAAAATATAAATTATTTACTCATGTAAGAGTTCCACAACAACATCCAGATTCAACTCTTTCCTGGAAGATAATATTAGATGTTTTAAATCTTTTTAATATTTTTCACTTTTAATTTAACCTCTTACCCTAAATGCAGGATTTGCTCCATGCTCCAGTAAGCATTTCACGGTACCTGCACACAAGTTATATGCAGCAATATGCAGAGCTGTTCCAAAATTAAAGTCACTGCAAGTGGCATCCACATCTGTAATTGAACATCACAAGTGTATTAACAAAAATTTTAGTGAATCTATTATAATGTGAAAGGAGGCAGGCTGGGTTGGATTTATTTGGGGGAAGAGGGGTATAAGCTATTGACGAGACTTAAACCAACCCACTAGAAGGACCATTCTCACAATGGAATAAAATCTGCATATTACAATCTGGTTAACTAATTTTTTTCTTAGTATAATAAAATTTCACTATCAAATGGACTCATGGGTTTTCTAACCATCACAAACTAAAGTATACTTAAAAGCAATTAATGGCAATAATTCATATTTTTAAAAGTAACTATCTTAACACACTCTTTCACTAAACCTCTTGCATATTTGCCATGACAATGATAATGTAGCAGGGTTTAGATCAGGGACTAGCAAACTGTGGCTCATGGCCAAATACAACTCATCATGTTTTCATAAATAAAGTTTTATTGGAACACAGCCACTTGCATTCATTTATATATTCTCTGTGGCTACTTTCACACCACTCTGTAGAATCAAGTAGTTTCAACAGGGACCATGTGGTCCACAAAGCCTAAAATATTTACTATCTGCCTCTTCATAGAAAAAAGAAGGTAAAACAATGGAGACTTCTCAAACCCGGAATAAATTAAAGTGTAATTAAACATATGCTACATGCTGTATTCATTCACAATACTTTATGATGAATTTGGATTTCACAGTAAGAAGTAGAATCTTGCAATTCTAAGAACATTTTAAGAATTTTCAACAAATCATCAGGATGCTATACATAGATACAAGATATACTCCAGATTTGGATATCCCATTTCGACTGTTTTTTTATAACATGGGTTTAATATACCTCTGGTTCTGCTAATCCTACCTGAATCAAACTACCGTTTCACCACTTTACATGTCCTACCCACAGCTGCAAACAAACCAAGACACACTCAGAACACTGTCCTGAGTTATGAAAGACACTGTACTATCAAGAGAGGCTTTCTTCCTAACATCATTCAAAAAGTGAAAACGGAAAAAGGGAAAGGGGAGCTGGACAACTATATGAAGCAGAGGTTTGAAACAACATTCTGGGAAATTTATCTACTGAATCTCTAAAATAAGTCTTCTACAAATGGAGGAAATACCACATACAACCTTCAACATAAAGTAATACTACTGCATTTGTTGTCATTTTTTCTCTAAAGAAAACTGCCCCACTGAAACGAACCAGGACTGTGATTTAGACATTCTGATGTTCAATTTTGGGACATTAAGCACCATCAAGACAAGAAGAAAAAAAATGAAAACCTATCCTTTAATGGAATCACAGAATTTCAGAACTGAATACCACCTAAAACAAATATTCTTCATGATTTCAGTGCTCAGCTCTGAAGGTTTTATTGCTCTAAATTTCTGGCTACCCAAATAAGACAAAAGAACTATACATAGATTCAACTACACTTTATAAAATCCATGTTATACTGGGGAATTTGCAGAGATATAAAAAAATGAGACAACACTTTATTTTGTATGTCTCTGTACTAAATCTTTTGTGAAAGGATAGCAACTAATCTTCAATTTAAAAAATTCAAACTATTTCTGAAAAATAAAATGGGATTGGAAGTCATATGGAACAAGATGGATTACAAGTAAAAACATCTTTGAGTTATAATTTTTCTGCCATCAATAATAATGTTCAATTAATAACATCCAGTGGTGATCTTGTAGTACTTGCCTTTTGGTTTAGATGTCTTCAAAATCACTCTTATAAGCTCAGGAACATCAAAATAAGCAGCATAATGCAAGGCATTCATGTTTGTCCATCGACTCCGCAAACTAACATCTGCTCCCAGATCAATAAGCTGAGTTGCAAATTTTACCGCTGTATCAACATCACCTAGAGAAGGTTTTCTAAATTACTTTCCTTCAGCATAAATGTTAAGTTCCAATGGATGCCATCTACTTACTACCTCATCTAAAAAGCCAAGGCAAATAGCACACCGAATATACACTTACAACTCAAAAACTGTCACTTTTACAAGGAATTTATTCTTTCTAACAAAATAATCATACTCAAGGATATTGATAAACACATAGCTGTAAAGATGTCCATCACAGCACTTTTTATTATGAATAAAATTGTGAAACAATCTAAAAGTACAATAATAAGACACTGGTTAAATAAATTATGAGACATCCACATAATGGAATACTATAGAGCCATTAAAACCAGTGTACCAGACCCCTGCTACTCAGGGTGCAATCTGTGGACCACTGCCAGTCCCAAACTGTAACTCGAACTTTTGATAATGTTTCTCTTTTTCCCTGTGTAATCATTTCCTCTGAATATATTAATTGAACTGTAATTTTATGCTTTTGAAAAATATTTGGGCTTGTATTTTATATGGCTTTAATTTCACTTTTCTATTACAAGGTCATTTTTATTTTATTTTACAAAAGTATCAGTCCATGATGGACTGCAGAAAGAAAAAACAAGAGAGTCCTTCATCATCAATAGCTTAAGAAGCACTGTCTCAGACTATTGAAACAGGGAGAGGTATTCACAATTTATCATTAAAAGGCAGTGGTAAAGCACAGGAGAATACCAATTTTGAAAACTATGCACATATGTATGTAGGAACAGACCTTAGACAGACATAAAGACCAGGGTCTGTAGGGAGCGGGATGCCTGGAAAAAAGCATGGACTGTTAAAGTGAAGTGAAGTCGCTCAGTCGTGTCCGACTTTGTGACTCCATGGACTGTAGCCCACCAGGCTTCTCCATCCATGGGGTTTTCCAGGCAAGAATACTAGAGTGGGTTGCCATTTCCTTCTCCAGGGGATCTTCCCCACCTAGGGATCGAACCCAGGTCTCCTGCATTGAAGGCAGACGCTTTACCCTCTGAGCCACCAGGGAAGTTAAACCTTGCCGTAAACCCTCAGGAAGGTTCTAGGTGTTACTAGTTACTCTCATCTAGCAAGGAGGCAGGCATGAAGCCTGTTGCAGAAAAGCTGGGAGGTACCAGGAGACTATAAAGACTCCCTCAAGAAAAGGGAGGAGCAGGAACAAGGTGTGTGGAGGACCTAACTGAATCCTCGCCTATTCAGGAAATATTATCATCATCACCTAGGTGCCTTTGCAGGGACTCTGGCTGACATAAACATACAAGCACAAACATAGATGTCTCAAGCCATTAACAGACTCGCTACATACTTACCAATACCATGAGCTCCAGATTTGCAGGTATAATGCAAAAGAGTCATATCTGTCAATCCATCTCTGTCATTCACATTGCAACCTCTCTTAAGAATCTGAGGAAACCAAGGAAGATATGATTACAACATAAGAGTCTACTGATTTCAAACCAATACTGAGGAACCAGAATAGTCAGTCTTATTGAATTAGTTCTCAACATACCCTGGAGGAGGAAATGGCAACCCATTCCAGTATTCTTGTCTGGAGAATCCCATGGACAGAGGAGCCTGGTGGGCTACAGTCCATGGGGTCACAAAGAGTCAGACAAGACTTAGCAACTAAGCGTGCACGCACAAAATGGGTAGACAGAACTGACTTCTCTTAAGGATGAACTTAAGTCTGCACCCAATAACAATAATGAAAATTGAACTTGTCACCAGACCAAAGGAAACTCTTAAAGAGTATTCCCAAGTAATCTGTCACTCAAAATAGGTTCCTTAACCTCTCAAAAGACAAGCAAATTTCCTTTCAAATGGGAGTAACAGTATTTGAAAAAGTATAAGCCCCTCTTCCTTAACACATGACAGTGAACTGGTCAAGGAACCCAACATTATTCTTTTACTCCTCTTACAAAAAATTCAGAGTTTTAAAATTATATTTAAGTCTAGATCTTTACCAAGTCACCCAAAAGTATAGATAAACATGAAGGTGATCAAATTCCCTCATGAAAATATTTTTTAATGTATAAATTAATTTGTATGAAAACATGAAAAATGCCTGCTCCCACCGAGAGTCAAAATGTCAGAACTCCAGATGTAAGGGAGTGAGGCGCACAGGGGAATGACGGAAAGACCGTGCTGTGTGCGTGCTCAGTCATTTCAGTCGTGTCCCACTCCCTTGCGACCCTATGGACTGTAGCCGGCCAGGCTCCTCTGTCCATGGGATTCTCCAGGCAAGAATACTGGAGTGGGCTGCCATGCCCTCCTCCAGGGGATCTTCCCGACACAGGGATCGAACCTATGTCTCCTGAATTGTAGGTGTATTCTTTACCCACTGAGCCACCCTGGGAAGCCTGAAGGAAAGACTATACAGCACTAATTCACCTTTGATGAAAAATACAGAGATACAAAGAACAAGCATCAGCATCTTTAAAAGGTTTCTCCTTTATCACCACCTATCCATTCCAATGGGGAAAAAAATCTCTTACAATTAACAATCCTAATAACATAAGATTTATGATATAAAAACTCCTTACCTCATTTCCAATAACATCAATGTTTTGCTGGACCTGAGGAACCCACTGTCTTAAAATGGCAAATAATTCTGATACAGAAGTTTTTGGATCAAAGAGAATTTCCTGGCATGATGTATCATTAGGATCAAAGAAAGAAAACTCTGTTTAAAGAATAAAAAAAAAAGGCATAAGTTATATTTATTAGAATTTCCAAAAGCATATGTTAAAAATAATAAACAACAAGACCAGGACTCAAATGAAACAAATACTTTTAGGTGCTAGAAATATTTTACCTTAAGCAAGTCTCAAAAGCAAAGTCAGGATCACCAAAAATTATGAAGCACTTCTGAAGGGCTGTGAGAATGAGATTTCCACACATCATACCATGCCTTATCACAAATGAAACAAAAATCTGAGTGCACTGATATCAAACCCTAAACTGTCCAAGAACTTCCTCTAAAGCACAGAAAATCTGTCAAAGTTTACAGGTATTTTCACCTCTCAAAACATAAATATGTCATGAACAGTAGACTCACATCCATGATTAAAGCATACATAGTAGAAAGAAATATGCCAGAATACTAACAGTGGTACTAGAATGATGTGTAATTTTAAATACTCTTGTTACTTCTCTGTAGTTTCCTAATTTTCTATAGTAAACAGGCATTACTTTTTACCCACTGAGAAGCCAGTGGGGAACTGCTATGTACACACAATAAGGAAGTAATATGTGATAATACAGAAAGGAAGCATTGAGGCAAAGAGATTGGGTTATTTGGAATATGTATTAGTAAAGATGTGGAATACTAGACAAAATTAAACATGATTTTAAAATTCCTTAAAACTTCCTTAAGATTCAGAGAACAGATTATCCTATGGCCAGAAAATGAAAGAGAACAGAAGAAAATCAGATTATTTAATCTTGAAAAAAAAGCTAGGGACTCTAAAAATTCAGAAGCATCTAAAGAAGAGACGCATAAGAAAAGCAGTATTTGCTGAGTGCTTACACTTTACCAAACACCTTACCTGATAGGTATTAGTCTCATTTTATAGATAAGCTCAAACTAACTAATACTTGCTCAAAGTCAGACAGCTAGCAAGTGACAAATCTGGGGCAGAAAACCAGGTCTGCATCCAAAGTCTATCGTCTTTCCTCTATGATGTTGCCTCCCCAAGAAAATTCACTATTGAGCTAAAATTTACAGATTTTAGCAGCATACATAAGTTAAATTATTTAAACTTTAAGGTTTAATTATTATTTAAAATAATTTCAATTCTAATCAATCAAAATTTCACCAAGATTCCTTTGTAGGAGACAGACAAATTACATTCCCATTACATTTAGACAAAAATACAAACTCCTTTCTGAAGCCTAAATGATCCTGCCTGTCTGGCCCCTGCCTTCCTCCTCAATTTCATCTCCTGCCATTCTGCCCTTCAGCCACTTTGCTTCTCAGCCACAATGGCCTTCCACTATTTCTCTGGATACACCAAAGTTTTTTCCCCAACTCCGTATCTTTGATTTCCTATTCTTCTGCCTGGAACACTTCTCTCCAGGCTCTTCTCTCAACCAGATGCTTCTGATTCTTCAGATGATCAGCCCACCTAACAACCACTCTGCCATTATCCTCTGTCCATTTCTTTTCTCCACAGAATTCATTATAACCTATAAAATTCACTTTTGTTTATTCATGTGTTCATTTATTGTCTGTTTTCCTTCCTAGAATGTCGCTCTTGGTCACTGTGCTATCCCCAGCACCTGGGACAATACCTAGCACATAACAGGCCCTCAACAAATACTTACTCAACAAACACAATTCTGGATGCCATGTTTTAAGAGGACACTTTAGCATACTAAAAAGAGAACAACTGGAGTAAAAAAGGTCTAGAAATCCTGATGATGAGGAGCTGGTAAAGGAATCAGAAATGTGTAGCCTAAAGTACAGACTAATTTAAAATATCCAAATTATCTTCAAATATTTGAAGGTTATCATATAAAAAGTGTTTGCTCCATACACATATCAAACCATTTGGCCAAAATTTTAAGGAGGGATACTTTGAGTCCATATACAAAAACAATTTGATCACAACTAAAACTTTAGCAATGAAATAAACTATTAGTTTCCTACTACTGAAGATATCCAAGTGGCTGAATAGTTACCTATCAGATATCCTGAAACAGAATTTCTATACTAGGAAATGAGTAGGGAAAGCGGAACTACAGGTCCATTCAGATTCTAAGGACCTATTAAGAATTCAGACAATGTTTAATTTTGGTTATACAAAGGGATCAATACCCATTTTCATCTTTCAATGTATTTATTCAACAAACACTGACTGAGCAACTAATATCAACAAATGACTACCTTAGCCCAAAGAGATAACCAAAAACAAAACATGATTTCTACTCCATCCAAAGAGCTATAGTCTGGGAAAGTTAATAAGATAATTATGACTCAAGATAGAACAAGGTAAGTGCCATAAGCAAGGTACAACATGCTTTTCAAGGTTTTTCCTGCATAACTGATTTTTTTATATCTGAAAATCAATCCAGTCAGTTTTTGTAAAAACTGCAAATAACTCCCAAGATCTAGGCACGGGTTTTATGTAACACCTTTGACAACTACAAGGCAAGCTGCTACAGAATCTGAACATATAAAAATAGCATACTTGGAGATGAGTAGTTATTAGAATAGATATGACTAAAAAGACAAATTCATAATCCAATCATTATATTTTCACTAATATTTAAAAACTGCATTATCTCTACCTCCAAAGACAATTTGAAATGGTGACCCAATATTTTACTTGAAAAACTATTTAAATTAGAAATGTAACATATCCATCAAGTTTACCTTCCAGTTTTTTTTTATTCCTTTACCACCTATCTGATAAAATGCAGTCGCAGGAAAACAAGTCTAAATAGATTAAAAACTAGAATACTACTAAATTTACATTTTACAAAGAATATTTAATGAGACAATTTAAATATGAATCAATCTCAAGCCACATTCTCAGGAAAGGTCTCACCCTCTCTGCATAAGTACAGAGCTTTTCTGGTTTTGTTTTACTATATTTGTGTATACATTGATAATTACAATGGGAGACAGTTGAACAGAATCCAAATCAGGCTTGTTTGTGTGTTAAAACACATTACTTTTTGTTACATGGTCACCCAAAATTGCATCATTTCAGCAGTGATTACTTGGCTTGTTAATTAGAATCCCAGTATTTCAGAGATAACAGGGCCCTTAAAGAAGGCTACCTCACAGTGTTTTTACATCTTTTTCTTTTTTTTCATACATGGCTTTTTAAACAAGTCAATATATTTAACCAATATATATATATCAATAGCAGAAGGATGCTAGGTGTCTAAGCACCATTGCATTTTAAAAATAAAATCCTCTGAATCCACCGTGGTGCTTAAAATGAACATTTTTACATAGTAAAAATGCTGACAGCAGAAATAAAGTGTTTAGCTTAAAAGGCAGGAAAAGCAATAAGCAACTGTTATTTTTGAAAAAGTAAAACTTTAGCAATTTTATGAAAACCACAATAAATGGTTTTAGGAAAAATTAGGAATATAAAAATGTATAAAACAGAAGTCAAGTTACCAGTTCGTGAAAAATAAATGCAGCTACTTAACATACCGCAGTCTGAAGGCATTGGTGCTGCAGAAATGGAAAAGATAACTGGTGTATCAGAACCTTGAAATAAAAACGGGTATTTTCCAATCAAAGAACTTCCTTCTAATGGAAAATCTGGAAGGTCCTCTATGGTCATCTTCTAGAAAGCCACCTTTAATGAGAGACAGGAAAAAAGCATATCTATTATATTTGTATGCAACTTAGAAAAACTGCCTTCAATCACAAATAGCCTATTTTTTAAAATATCTAACCTATTGTCAACCTTCAAATTCACTCTTTAGAGAGTAAGGGGGAAAAATTCCTTTTAGCAAACCACTGTTAATGAATATACATTGCTTCACACTGTCTCTTAGGGTCAACAGCATACGTAATCTTTTTGGACAAAGCTCAGGAGTAAAAAACTACTATGTATTTCCCAATAATAGGCAAAAACATTTTTTAAACACTGAACTAATCTAAATGGGTGATGTCTCTTTACTTGCAGTAACAAGTGAGGAGACAGTATCCCTGGTAGATGCATCTCAAACTTCTCATAGGATCTGACACAGCTTCTATCGTGTCATCCAATGGTTCATGCCATCTGCTCATCATATGAAAATAATCTAGTTTAGAACATTATTATTTTCTGACATCCCAGAAAACTTAATTGAAAACTGACCACATCACTCATACAAATCTAAATCTAGAAGCTTATTTCTAGATTGTTTCACTTCTTAACAAGGTAGAGGATCTGTTTAGTCCATCCAGCGGAAGATGGAAGGTCATGCCTTTAAACCACATCACTTATATTACCTCTTTTTCCCAGGAAACATGAGCAAATTTCAGAATAAATTTGCTCCAAATTAGACAGCAGCTGCACCCTGACCCACATATCAGAGATGGCACAGAATGAAGAGAAAATGTTAGTAAACCTGAACTATGAGGCTAAAAGCCTTCCAGTTTCTTCTGCATCAAATCTCTGAAGTCTGAAATATTATGAATCTCTATCTATTTAAAATATAAGCAGAAAACTATATTACAAAGCTAAATAAAAATGAGTATAGATTATTTCAGTAGAAAGAACAGAATAAGTAAAGATGGTTAACTGATAGTGTAGCAGATAATGCTAGGCTAGATACTACTCAAGGTGTGCTCTATTCTACTTGGTTAAATTCCAAGCAGTCACCTTTCTGAGATAAGTGGTTTCTTTCCAATTAGATTCATATGTTTTCTAAATACTAGCAGAAACTGATAAAGAGTAGGCAATTTCTTTTTTCTCATAAGGTACAGGTTTACATGGTCATGGATATTATATATTAAATAACTTAATCCAGTGTTACTATGTTAAAGGCTCTCAAGGTTTCTTGGATGCTAAAATGTCTCACCACTCAATACTCTGAATCATTCTGACATTAACCTGGCCACATAAATGGGAAAAAGTGTTGCCATACGGCATGGTGAACTTCCTCAAATACTAACAATTCCAAACAGTAGCGCCTACCACAAGGACAGCTCTCCTTCAACACTGCAGCTTCCCTGTACTCAAAGTCAGTCAGGATTTCTGCTTGCTGGCCTCTGCAAATTAGCAGTAAATTTGGGGGAAACAGTCTATACCAGTTATGAAGTGTCCTCTGAAGCCAAGGAACAGAAATAAAGTTTAATAATATTAATCTGTTTAATATTAATCTGTACAAGGCACTACACTATTCTAGATGTTTCAGAGAATACAAAAATGAGTAATATATGGCCCATGCTTGTTAGGTAGCTTACAATCTACTAGGGTGAATAAAATAGTACTAATAACTATAGTTGATAAAACTGAGTGAAATATATTCCATAACCTCAGTACAAGGAACGTTTGCAGTCAGAGCTCCTGAGAATGAGAAATGGTGCAGTGAAAAAGGCATCATTTGAGAAGTGTCTTGAAAGATGAGTAGGCAGAAATTTAAAAGGGGAGCCCATCAAAGGAACAGCAGGCTGGAACTGGGCACATCTAGTAAGAGGTAAGGCTGTAATGGTTTTTTAGGACTCTCCTCAGTAATGCTTTATATACCTGATCAAATACCAACCATTTAATTCCATGAGCAGTGGGAAATCACTGACTTTTTAAAAGGAGACTGTCCTAATTCAAGCTGTTTTAGAAAAATTAATCTTTGACTACAGTCACACTTTGGGATTCAGCCATGTTTTTTTACACTCTTAATTCTTCAACAAAATGATTAAGTGGTTTTCTTCCTGAGTTGGTTAAGAGGAAGCCACTTTTCAAAACTTCCCTTTCAAAGAGCAGGGTTTCCCATTCAAAAACACATTTAATAACTATTTGTTAAATATACACATTTAGCAAATATTCAAATTCTAGACTCAAGGTGGAAAGATGATTCATTCAACAAGATGTAATCAACTTTATTTTACATGTTATATATTTCAAACCCAAAGAAGCTACAATATTACTTGAACAATGTAGTGAACATTCTTAACATGTATTTTGTGTCTTCATTGCATTTTTTTCCCTGGTCCCATTTCCTTTCTGTCATGAAAAGCCTAACCTTCTGCCTTTTGTCCCACTTAAGAAAACTATACATCTCTACAAACTTATGTATAGTTTTAGAATCCTTTCCTAAAAGTGATTTCTGGATCTAAAGATCTGGGAATCTTGGTCAAATCTAGAGTTGTGATGAGCTGGACTGAGTACATATTTTCATTTCAAATCCTACTATGGATAATTGGTGATAATGGGTTATGCAAAATAACCTAAGATTAAAAAAAAAAAGTGGCCCTAATTAACTGTGTATGTAGCAGATGCAATAACAAGAATCAAATTCCCTAAACTATGATTTATATAGGAATTCCATCACCCCAAATCAGCTCCAAGTAAAAGCAACTTGTAACATGGTTCTAATATTTGGTGATTTTTTTTCAGAGATTCCTGGTCAATGCCCCAACACTGAACGGTGGTGAGTGGAGTTGCCCATTAACTTCTTCAGAGTGGTCCACGGCTATCAGGACCTCACTAAGGAACCTCACTGAGACCAAGAGATGCCCTCAGATTTATTTGGAATACAGTTCAAGGGCATATTACTCAAACTCATATCCTTGAGTTGTTACTCAGCTATCAGTAAATCCAAGCTGCATCCACATGAGTTGGAAACATGAGGCCCTTTCATTCACTTTCATATAGTATTCTGTTATGAGTGTTTATTTTCACGAGATACGAAAAAACATAATCTTAACAAAAGAAGCATTTTAAGCATATTTCTAATAACCCATTTATTTGTTATCTACATGAAGTCTATTTAATCACTGAGCAAGTATGGTGTGCTGCAGTCCATGGGATTGCAGTGAGACACCACTGAGCGACTGAACAACAACAAGCCTTACAGAGAACATGAAAGATACCTGCCCTTAACAAGTTCATTTAGTCATTCAACAAATATTTATCAAGCATTTCTTACTAAGTCTTAGCCTGGCATAGCAAAGGTTTTTAAAAAAATAGATATGTCATCAAGTAGATTACAGTTGAGAACACAATTCCTACAAGAAATTTGAAATTACTATATAACTGAAATAAGTGCTGGATTCAAGGGGGCCAGTGAAGGCTTGCTAAGGGAATAATTTAAAACTGCAGTGCCCAACCAGGTAGCTATTAGCCATATGTGTCTATACAAATTAAACATTTAGTTCCTCCACTGCTCGAGCCCCATACAAGGACTCAAAAAAGTCACATGTGGCTAGCGGCTACTATATTGAACACTGCAGAAGAACACTTCCCTCAGAATAGAAAATTCTGTGGACTCAAATTCCAGATGAGAAAATATACAAATGCCTGAAATGAAAAAAAAAAAAAAACATGAAAAAACAGAGGCTAACAAACTAAGCAAGCCCACGGTGGTACCTAATTATACATTATTAACAAGAGAATAGCAAGTCTAAAAGTAACCAGATGTTCACAGATTTACACAGGGCTAAAGAGTTCAGTCGATTCTATTACATGAAGATCACTAGTATGTTTCAAAACTGGAGTTGTTACAAGCCATAAAAAAATCATATAAATATTATTTTTTAAAAGCCTTGCTGGTGGGATTGTTTCTGGTAAATATGAAACGTCTGAAATAAACCCTATAAATAATACACCATATGCCAAATCTTCTGTAAAACAGAAATAAACATATTCATTCCATTTCAAGATTCACTCTTTCAGCCCAGGTTGTCCATAACAAACGAAAGTATTTTAAAATGCATAATTATTGTAGTAAAACAGGGTGGAACCAGGATGGCTTTGCATCATAAAAATGAAGACTTCTGCCAATTCCAATTCTCTGCTTTCTCTACACAGTTACTCCATGTCCTTCACTGCGTGATCTTCTGCCATTTAGACGACTTTAAGTTGTGCAGAAGATACATAAAAGACAAGTGTCAATGTGAAAGTGAAGTACGATTAAAGTATTTGGCGGATGTTTCAAAGAAGGAGGGTGTTTCTTCACTGAAATATTTAAAAGGCATCAATTTACACTCTGATATTGCTACAGTGTGAACCACACTCTAGCAGGGAACATACAGCAAGTTATTATCCCATGAGAATATCCTCCTCTGATACATATCAAAACATTGTCTCAGAGTTAAAATCCAAATTGCCTACATAGTCTCTAGATTAATGAACAACCTGACATGTAATTCAAAAGAAAGCTGACGTTATAAACCCATCAATCCAGCTCACAAGGATGAGATCTAAACCGCGTCTCTGTTGAGCAGTCTCTGAGCGTTTTCCCCCAACTTCCCATGATTTAGAAGGAATCTGGGGGCAGCGAACGACTGGAGGCAGAGTCATTTATCTTAGTCATTTATCTTTGAATTCTCTCCGGCAAAAGGTTTCTCAAACAGTTTAATGAGCAAAGGGGTGGCAGGAGAGATGCGAAGAGGGCCCTCTCAGGAAAACCACGAAGGGCTGGGCACAGCACGCTGCGCATCACTGCGCGCGTGAGGCTCTCCCAAGGGCGCCGGGGCAGTCAAGGTTGGGGCGCGCAGCAGGGTCCGGCCCGTCCCACACACCTGGCGGTATCTCATCCTGAAGTTAAACGGGCGGTGAGAAACGGAAAGCAGACACCCACGTCCCGCCCGTGGGCCGCTCCAACCCCGCCCCCGCCCCGGGGAGGCCTCCAG